GTTGCTTGCCGTTGGGCTGAATGTCTCAGCTGTGCTGCTCGCACCTGCCCTGTACTCCCTGGCCACTATGCGGCACCTCCTTTTCCAACGTCCGTCACGATGCCTCCAGTCGTAGACTTCGCGTAAATCCATACGCTTTTCATCACCTGTTGCATTCGTCGCCTCCATGAATTCCTCGATTACTCCTAGCTTGCTAAGGCGATTCAATTCCTCCACGGCTGCTTCCTGATCCAAGGCATCCAGTTCCTCTGGACTTAGTTCGGGTGGTGTTTCTCCTTGGTCATTCTTTGGAACTTCTTCCATCTCTTCTTCCATGAGATCTTCATACTCCACGTCTTCTCCTTCTACTGCCGTGAGATCCTCATGTTCATCCCAATGAAAGGGATCATCTTCCTGAGATACCCTGCCTGCGAACAAAGGCGGGTAGATTCCTCTTGAAGGCGATGATGGTGCTGATGGCATTTCTCGTGACTTTTTCGGCGATCCTTCGACTTCCTGTCCTCCTTCTACAGCTCTCTTCCTGAGGTCTTCTAGCATAGTATCATCACTGACACGTCCTTCTGGTTCTCCAGGTGGTGCGTCCTGCATTGAACTTGAACTCCGGGAATGAGAACTAGACCCCGTGCTAGTCATGCCTCCGTTTGAGGCCCTGCCTCCACTTGAGGCCCTGCCTCCACTTGAGGCTCCACTGGTGTCCAGTAGATCTAACAGTTCCTCGACTTGTTCCTCTTGGGACTGTCCTCGATCTTCCGCACGAACTACGGGTTCCTGTGCTGTTCCTTCTTCCTCTGCGATACTTGCCAATGCTGGGGCTGGTAACGGCTGTCTGGTATACGTTCCTTTTGGCTTCTTGGGGTTCCATGGAGTTACACTCAGCTTCAGTACTGGTTCCTTTCTCCATCCAGTGGCGATTCGCCTTACAGATCCTGTTGCCAAGATTCCGTCTTCAACTCCTACCAAGTGCATATCCTGAGAGTTCTTACCAAGGTAGATTCCTCCAATCCAATTCGCTGTTCCTTTCTTCTCGGGTTTCTTCAGCGCATACACATACTCTCCGAATGGGGCAATCTTCCCAAGGTAAGGTCTACCAACGACACTTTCGTAAGGGGTTGACCCTATCGCGGCGTGTCTGTGGTACCTGTTCAGCAACCATGACGCATGGCACAATCCCCAGGCCCACACTGCATGGCCTTCGGGAATCTCTATACCAAGCTTTCTTTCGGCTGCTCGTACCAAGCAAATTGTTTGGTTCCTCACCGTCTGGATAAACCTTTCCACTCTTGCCGTTCTTCCTTTCTGATACGGCTTGCTGTTTTGATCGTGTGTTTTGCGGTTCATCTTCCTTCGAGTTTCCACGATTGCAGCTATCAGTGACAACATTGCCTCTTCCGAATCTCCAACAAATCCGACTTCCTCCAAGTGTCCAAGACTGTGTACCCATTTCAACACCTTTTCCACGGTCTTTCTCTCCGTCTGCTTTCCAGATACCGGGATCACAACTGACATCCTTGTCCATGAACAGATTCCAACTAATGCTGGTGTGCCCTTTCCTTGTAGGAACATAAAGTCCAACTGAATTATTGGATAAGGCACTCCCACTGAGTCCTTTCCTGCTTCGGGATTCTTCTTTTCGTGATCCTGCTTACTCTTGGCTTCCACGCATGACTCACACCAATGAGCAAAAGGTAGGTGTGTTGCTTCATGAGCAAGTCGCTCTCGCTCTTCTTCCGAGGGTTTGTACGGTTCTGCTTCCACTCGTACTTTCTCTTTCTCTTCGCTCTTTAGCTTCTGTGCAGATTTCTGCATCTCCAACTCTGACAACGGATTTCCGTCTCCATCGTAGGTTGGTCCCAATACTCCTTCGCTCCTTCCAGGGGCGATACTTACCGGTACCACCGGTGTACTAAGCTCTTCTGGAACTCTTCCTTCACCTCTAGCAAAAGGTGTTTCTGGTCCTCTCGAGACCATGATCGCTTCAAAGTCTCGACAGAAAGTGAAAAAGTTTCCACTCACTGCATGTAGGATAACACAGATCCTTTTTGGTCTCCCATGACACTCTGCAATTTCCACATTGTGGCTCCTGATAGAACCATAGTCCGAGTACAACTCGACTAGTGACCATTCACTTCCTCCTTCTGATACCATTGTCGTCCTGTACTTCCATCCTGGGAAAGCATCCTTCGGATCCATATAAGTCGTTCCTTGATACAAAATAAACGGTGTACCGTCTTCCATGATCGTCCAATTGCCACTGGGTGTACTGTCCAACAGTTCCCGTAGATAGTTTGGAATACGTACGGTGACGCTCCTCTCCACTGCAGTCCTACTGTCAGTGCTACTTCGTGAGCTTCCATCGCTCCGACTTGTTCCTCCCGTCCAACGGGTGTTACGATCATTTCCGACAACAGACAATCTACCTAACAAACAACAACTGTTCCGTTTGTAAAAGATCCTTGCGTTTGCTCTTCCATCTGGGCTAACCAAAACCATTGACGACACTGTAAGGTTCCACTGAACACTAAGAGCTTTCTCACCCTCAGGTACATCTGGCTGATACTCCAGTTTCCAGCCATTCTTCAGCAGTCTTCCCATCGACAACAGAATGTTTGTCGCATCGCTTACAATAAAGCTTTCCGAAATACTGGGGGCTGTCCAACAGTCCTCTCCTTGTTCCACTGCGATCACTGCCGTGACCATTCCTGCTGACCTAATTGCATTCCCTTGGGCATCCTCTAGCATGATACCCGTTGTTCCTGCGTTCATGCGTGTCGCTTTCGGATGTGACCTAGGTAACAAACTAGCATCCGATCCAGAATCCAAAATGATAATCTCAAGTGCTTCTTCGGGTACAGTCTCTTCTACTTGAACTGCTCGAGCTACTTCGTGGTTGTCTACAACAAACCAGTCTCCGTCTTCATCCGTTGCATCCATCACACACCACTCTGCTACATCATGGAATTCTTCACGAACCATTCGAACTTTATCAGTCTCGGTCTCCTTTTTCTCCTCCGTCGCTTTGAGGTGAGACTCGATCCACTCATTCTCTCGCTTCACCGCATCATCGATGGCTTTCTGGTCGTAAGGTTTTCCTTCACTTTTCAGCTTCCTCTGTTGCCTCAGATAGTGTTCTTCTCCTGGATAATGTTCTGGTACTCGTGGGATTCCAGACTCTGTCGGTGGTGCAACTGGCTTGCACACCGGTTCCAGGCGTGTACCACAACCTTGGCAAATTCCAGTAGGTTCTCCAGATCCAAGTTCCTCATCTGAGTCTGTAAAACCTGGACTGGGTAGTTCACCGAAAAATGGGTTGGTGACTTCTTCACCTTCTGCAGTTCCATCTGCAACATCTCGAACCATACGGATGGTGTTGACATACGTGATGTCAATGTCGGACTCATCTTCTGAATTGATTGGGAAGGTCTCCGGATATTCTTCTGGCGGCGTAGCTATGTGGTAAAATGGTTTTGGGTTGAATCCACTTGATCCGCTTGACACTCCTACTCTCCGGGTGACAATCCGTGGGTCCGGTCGGCTTGTCGTCTGGCGAATACTACCAGTTTCGACCACATTAGGCTTCGGGTAAGGTTCTTGGTTCGGTGGATTGTTGGGATACGTTTCCGCTTGGGACTGTTCTTCAGCTTCCACGTTACGAACAGAATGTCTGTTGGGGCATTCATTTCCCCAGTGTCCTTCCTGATGACAAAGTCTACAAACTGTCCTTCCAAGTCGTTTTCCTTTTCCTTTCTTTCCTTTTCCTTTACTCTTTCCTTTGCCTTGCCGGTCTTTTCCACCTTTCTTACCTTTACCTTTTCCTCTACCTTTACCTCGGCCTTTACCTTTGCCTCTTCCTCGACCAAACCTGCTGAATCCTCTACCTGCCTGCATGGCTCCGAATCCTCCAAACATCTTGCCATAACCTTTCTTGCCTTTTCCTTTTCCGCCTTTTCCTTTCCATCCTTTTCCTTTGTACTCTACTCTGTTCACTTCCATTGCTTGGTGTCCTCCACCAGTAGGGGCATTCTCTACTGCTCCTAGGTACTGTTGACCATGTCCTGATTCGAGGGGTTGATATACTTGGTTCGGCATCCAGCTTCCCGTAGTCCGCTCGTAGACTAGTACGCTTTCTTTGACTTGGCTGTATGTTGTTTTATCCGTAAGCTGAAGATGGATGTGTTCCTTCAAAGGACTAGGAATACATCTCAAGAGAGTCGACAGGAGAATCTCTCGAGGGTAGCTCACTCCACTACATCTCTCATAGTCTTTGACTAGTTCTTCCAGCTTCGAGATCTGTGCCACAGCACTTAGTCCGGGTGAAAAGTTTGGGTATCCATGAATCGCTTGCATCAAAGCTAGACTCCGACTTCTCGTACTCGGCTGATACATCCTCAGCAATGACTTCCACAAAGCAAATCCATTCCGGGATCCAGCGATACTGGGATCTCGTGCATGCTGCTTCGTGGTTCCTGACAACCAAGAATTCAATAGCGAGTACAGTTTCGTTGACATAGTCTGATACATTTCATCCGAGAAAGTAGCTGGTAGTACTTCATGGTCTCCCAACTTCTCCAAATTCTTAAAGGCATCCGAATATTTGGGTTCCGCATACGCAAGAATATTATAAAGCTGTTCTTTGAAGTCCCTGCGGGTTCACTTTCGGGGGTGGTTTTGTATCGGTTTTTTCGGGGTTCGGTGTTTTTACGTACTGGGAAAAAACTTTTATGGGCAGGGGTTTGGGATAGCATGTATCGTGAACTTGTTTCGTGTGTAGTGATAACTGGTTGTTCTGGGGATTGCTATTACTGAGTTGTATGTAATGCACGTGGTGTGTAATGATGATGATGATGATGATGATGATGATGATGGTGGGTGATGATGATAAGCCCCTCGGCTCGCAGATCTTGAGGCCCTGTCTGTGGGTTTCTGGCGGTTCGGGGTTGGGGTGTCTTCGCGGTTGTGTGTTGTCTTTGGCGAAAGCTGCATGGAAGATGCAGAGTCGGATCATGGCATGGACTCTTCTTCTGATGACGTGGGTGCTGGCCGCACTCCACGAGATGAGGCAAGAGATGGGCCCCTGCCACAGGGGCATCCTGGCTATCGGCCTGCAGGGCCACCGCGCCCACGGCCTGTCAACGGTCCAGATCCATATGACGACCAACCACGACGACCAGAGGAAGACCGGAACGAAGAAGGCCACAGAAACGAGCCGGGCAGGACGACGCCAGCGAGGCGCCCTCGCCCGGAAACTTCTTCATCGTCCTCAGACTCCTCCTCTACGCATGACAACAATGAACAGGAGTCGACTGAGGCAGCAGGAGAGTGCGAAACAGACGGTTGGTGGTCCGACACGTCTGTTATCTTGGAAGGCGATGAACTGGCAGAGGCGAGAGACTTCTTTATCAATCTGTTTCGGCGACAGCTCCGGGACCAGCATGCTGAGCTCAGTAGCCGCTCAGTCGCTGCACGAGTGGGGGCCCTCCGCCGCAAACTGCTACAATCTGCTTGGCAAAGTATACAGACTCTGGCCTCCCAGAGGCTCACCGGCACATTTCTGCAAGAATGGGCGACCTTCGAGTTCCGAGCCACTCATGCCTACCATGCCGGCGATCGAGCAGCCCCGTCTGGCCACTGAAAGGCTGGGTTCGACTTGGGATCTGACTCCTGTAGGACGCCCTCGCAGTTTGTGCAATAGACTCTTTCAGGTACTTGCCGTCTTGCACCCACACAGCCCGAGCACGCCTTTCTCTCGTGCCCGTAGGCGTGGTGCAGCTGCTGGCAAGCACGCCACCAGCTGTGGCAAAGCACCTGGCCAAGCCTCAGGACAGCACCGTCGTTCTGTCCTTTATCGAATAAAGACCTCCCTCCCTAGGCTTCCCCAGTTCCCTAAACTCCCTAAACTCTCCGATGCTTCCTTCCTTAAGCACCTCTTCCATAAGCCCCAATGTAACCGAACCCGACGATGCCACCACTGCAATCAGACTCCACAGCAAGCTGTCCCAGACTGCAGTCAGCCCCAACATAGGGCGACATTGAGCCGCTCCGGTCCCAAGTCCGGAGACCATGGATTCATGTTAAGACCTCATAAATTGATAGTCTGGTATGCCATGGTAGGGGTGAGGGTGTCCTCTGCTGCCGCCACAGAGGAAGGACTCACAGCTGGAAGCCTTCAGCCAGTGGGGAAGCCAAGCGGCTCAGCGCACAGAGGCGGGGAACATCGCTCAATCCCAAAAAGCACGAAAAGAGCATTCAATCGAGCATGCAAGCGAGCCGGTCAGGCTCTCAATGGAGGTACCTGGTACAAAGGCCGGTGGCACAGCCGTCAAAACCTGGCAACCCTAGGACAAGCCACCTTAGCCCCCTCTGGCAGGAGGGCAAAGCAGCCACGACCGCAAAGAAGCAGGCCGGTCCCGAACTTTTCAGTCTTCGTGTGGAATACCGGGGGCTGAAACTCAGGCATGCTTCAAGAATTTATGGCTTGGTGCGAAACGCAGACCAAATATGATGCGATTCTTTTGCTTGAGACTCATTGGAGGGAAACCTCCGACTACCGGAGCGGCCATTGGCATTGCATGCATACTTCAGGCTATGGGCCTGATCAACCTGATAGGTATGCGGGCATTCTGTGCATGCTCTCTAGCAAAGCCTTTGCAATCCCTAGTGTTCGAGAGGTCGTCCCAGGCCGTCTTTTGCAGATCAAGCCCAGCATATTGCCAGCAAGCGTACAGTCACACTGATCGGTGTGTACCAGCACGTCCACCGACCACAACTAGGCGCACACAAGAATAAGGAGATTCGGGGTCAGGTTTGGCACAAGCTACAGCAGCTCGTCGGTGCCATTCCGACAAGGCACATGATGCTTATTGCTGGTGACTTCAACTCAACCCTGCAGCCAGAATACCCCTACGTTGGACCTGCAGCTCCTAGTCGGCAATCGCATAGCAACTATGACTCGGCCTTTCAGGCACTGGTGCGAGACCACCGCCTCACAGCGGCCAACACATGGCACTCCAGGCCGTCCCACACCTTCACAGCCCCGGGTGTTCAGAGTCAAATCGATTATGTCATTGTTAGACTGCAGGATGCGAACAGAGGAGCCCGTTACTCCTCGCCCATGTCGGGATTCCCGGTCGGTGCCCATCGCTGCACCAATCATCTGCCCTTACACCTGGAAACTAGCCTCCTCCCATACGAGTTCCAGCCACAATGCCGGCATCGATCTGCTTGTGCCCACAACTCCGCTGCTCTTCAAGCAGCTGTGCTCAGCAATTCTGCCCAGGCTCAGGCCCTTTTGGACTCCGTGGAGCGTCGCCTCCAGCAGCAGCCGCCGAGCCCTGACTTGTGTGGGGAACATGACGCAGTCAACATCATTCTCCAAGAGGAGACCTGCAAGTTCTTTCCTCCGACAGGTCGCAAGGACTGCCGGGTCAGTGCTCAACCCGAGTTCCGAGCCTCAGCCAGTACCACCTGGGAGTTGCATAGGCGATTCCGTCGCTCGGGGTTGTTGCTAGTTCGGAACATCTTCGACCGCCTCAAGCACTACACTGCCTTTCTTCGAGCCTCCAAGGCCCTGCGCACACAGAGCATGGCACTGAAAAAGCAATTTCTCCAGGATCGGCAGGCTGCATGCCAGGGGGACCAGCGAGCTCTGTTTCAAGTTGCCAGGCAACTGGCACCACGCAGCCACAGGGGCACCATCAGGCTGCAGGACCCTGCAGGCAAAATCCTTGGAAGCAGTGCTGCCATGGAGGCCATTGTGGCCTATGGCAATGCCACATTTGCGGCACGACCGGACTCCATTCCACAATTGCCCCAGCAAGGTACACTCAGTCTCGGTAGCCACACCTTCTCCACTGCCCTTAGCAAATTGAATGTTCGGAAGGCTGTCCCGGTGCACTGCGCTCCAGCCGCCTCCTGGAGGCTGTGCTCCTCCTGCATCAGCGACCGGCTTGGGCCCCTGCTAGCCAGGCACTTCTCTGCTGGCTCCACAGCCCAACTGGTTGGGGATCTCAGAGATGCCCATGTGGTGTGGTTAGAAAAGCCAGGCAAACCACCTGTCACGGTTGGTGCTCTGCGCCCAATAGGGTTAATGCCACCCTGTGCCAAGGCCATCGCAGCAGACCTTGCCCAGCAGATCCAGGCACACCTTCAACCTCTTCTTGATCACATGCCACAGTATGCTTACAGCCCCAATCGGGGCTGCAGCGATGCTATTTTGCGAGTTCACCAGCACTTTGAACAGGTGGAGCAGCTCCACCAAAGCCAGGCCAGCAATAGATTTAATCTTCGTTCGGGAGCCACTCGCCTTACATGCTTCGGTGGAATGTGCTTATCGCTCGACTTGTCAAAAGCCTTTGACTCGGTGTGTCGTGACAAACTCACTGAATCGCTCCTTGACCACGGTGTCTCCCAAGATGTTGTGGGTGCCATACAACAGCTGCACAAATCCGCACGGTATGTTTTCCGCCTTGAGCAGGCCACCGGCCAAACTATCACCACCTGCGGCATCAAGCAAGGCTGCCGTGCAGCCCCTACGCTGTGGCTGAGCCTCACTCTCTCCATTATGGAGACATTGACACAACGTCGCAGTCTTGCCTGGCTCCATAGGTGCCTCACAGCCTTCGCTGACGACTTATGCAGCTGCTGGCGAATCACAAGCAGCAGTGACCTCCTCAGAGCCATCAGTGACCTAGAGCTCATTCTTGAAATCCTCGCCCAGTTCCGACTGACTGTTAACTTGCAGAAAACCGCGCTCCTCATGAACGTTCGGGGCAAGGCAGCACGGAAACTCCTAGCCGAACGAACCGTCCACAAACAAGGGGAGCCACACCTGCGAATTCTGGTTAATGGGCAGGAACAATTTCTTAAAATCTGCGATTCGCATGTCTACCTCGGCACTAAGATTGCCTACAAGAATCGCCGTGACCTCAATGTAGCTCACAGGATCTCCGCAGCCCAAAGCCGATATCAGCAGATCCGAAAGGTTCTGAATGGTCGCAACCCGCTCAGCACCAAGCATCGCCTTAGACTCTGGACTGCCTGCATCAATAGCTCCCTCTTGTACTCCCTTGAGGTTGTAGGCTGCACCCTAAAAGGCCTTCGCAAGCTTCACGTGCTGTGCACCCGCCATTTCCGGGCAATCCTCAAACAACCTGCCCACCTCTCCCATACCACGAACCAGGCTGTCTGGAGCACCGTTGGTCTGCCTACGCCTGACTCCCAGCTTGAACACCGCATGCAGAGGTTTAAGGCTGCTAAATCCCCGAACCTTTCGCACCACGGGCCGGACATCATCTGTAACGATGAGGTTCAGCTGCAGATGGCGGAGCTCCTCTCTCATCACCGTGCGCTGAGCTCACAGCTGGAAGCTGAGCGCGCCTCCCCACAAACTGCTGACTTAGATCCGGAACCCCTGCTAGGTGTAGTCTGCCCACACTGCGACCGGAAACTTCCTAGCCCCCATGCCCTCCGCATTCATGTTGGGTTGCATCACAAGGATGTCAGCAAGGCTCCACGGCCCAGAGTCGCCTTCTCAGCTACTGCACACGCCATTGACGGCATGCCGACATGTCGCCTGTGCCACAGAAGCTTCACGAAGTGGCGGCAACTGAAGCTCCACATCGAGCGATGCTCGTGCCCCCACCTTGGGGGTGCAAGTTTCATACTTCATCCCCCTGCTTCCGACAATCACCATATGTCAGGTACCAGCCAGAACATTGCGAATGAGCGGGGCACCGCCCCGACCGACTCTTCCGACGCTACAGCACAGTGCGAAAAGGAGGCCTATGTACCACTGATTGCCCGACCTGAGTTCTACGGCAACCTCTCACGCTGGGAAACCCTGCTCTCCTGCCGTGACACTAAGGCTCAACTCTCCTGCAGATGTGTTCTTTGTGGCATGTGGATTGCGACACCCAAGCATATGAAGCAACACTACAATCGGACACACCATACCTCATTTCCAGATCTCAGAGATGCTGCCACTGCACTCTGTGCCACATTCAAGAGCCAGTTCACCAGGAACCGTAGCTGCAGATACTGTGGGACGAACGTCGGGGCTGCCTCCAGGCACTCCGTTCAGTGCACAGTCCTGCATCAACTCTGTCTAGCCACGATTTTCTGTCAACGTAACTTGCACCGCCAGGATGTCGGGGACTCTGGAATCGGAGATCTTTGCTCACTGCATGCCCACGGGGCAACTGGGAGCAAAGCCGGCCGGCTCCTCTCCAGCACCGGCCTCTCAGCCGGAACAGCCTCAGAAGCGTCCGAGGCCCGACCAGAATACCAGGTTTCAGCCTGGAGGCTCGTGCGCGCTAAAAATTTGTACGCGGAGACCTTGATGGGCTCAAGACGTCCTGTTGGGCGCGAACATAGGCCATGTACCAATTTTTTGTGCGCGGGGGCCCGGCATTGGGAGCCGCAGGTGGCCGGGGCGGGGACGGACGGGCCCCGGCAAGGGTAGATCAAGATTTCTTATGCCAAGTGCCAAATATCAGAAAGTGCAAGGTGGGCTGCTCAATGTTTGGCTCAGCAACGCACGTTTGCCAGCTAGTTTTCCGGACATGCCTGGCGAATTGGTAGCATTTGGCAGTTCTGTACATTAGATTTGGCTCAAGCGATCTCCGTGTTCGATCGAAAAAACTTCGGCTCAAAGAAAATTCCTGCGTCGTGCGTAAGAAAAACCTTAATTGCCCCACGTACGTTCGTAGATGCACACACACATATATGTGAAGGCACACATATCTCACCCTAAACCTTGCCCTAAACCCGCATCCGGCTCAAATTTCACCACGTGATTGGGAAAAACCTTTAATATTTCTATATATATATATATTATAGTATATTATATCATATTATATTGTATTATATTATATACTATATTATACTATATTATATTATATTATATTATATATATTCATAAACCGACACTCACTCCATATATTCCAATGCTTTCGATTCCTTTATTCCTTTCGATCCTTCCAACTCTTCCATTCTGCTCCAGTCAACCAATTGAGTCAGTTGCTCCATGTGAGCGATTGGACAGTTGTGTGTGAAAGTGTCTTGCAGGGATGCAGTGAATGACAGTCGATTGCAACAGTGATGCATGCACATGGGACATTCCGGATCAATGTTGATTGGATAGTTGTGTGTGAAAGTGTCTTAGGACGCAGTTGCATGCAAGGACATTCCGAACGAATGTCGATTGGACAGTTGTGTGTGAAAGTGTCTTGCAGGGATGCAGTAAATGACAGTCGATTGCAACAGTGATGCATGGGACATTCCGGATCAATGTTGATTGGACAGTTGTGTGTGAAAGTGTCTTAGGACGCAGTTGCATGCAAGGACATTCCGAACGAATGTCGATTGGACAGTTGTGTGTGAAAGTTGTGTTGCGCAGAGTGCCGGCAGCCGCAGGCATGAAGCTCCGTTCCAAGTCATGTTGCAACGGCAAGCTGTAATGCATGATCGAGAATGCAGGCAGACTCGCAGTGCTTTGCAGAATCAGCCTTATAGAAAGGTTTTAGCGATGGAGGGCCAAGGCGGTGCACTCGTGTGCAAGAGATTCTGCCGTGGCTTGGCGGCCAGTGTTTTCGTTATGTGCAATCTGGAGCTGGAGGATGTGCGAGCCCTTGCTCGGAAGGGCTTGCTCGATTTGGCACAGTGCATTGTGCACATGCAGGAGCTGACCGTATGGCAGGAGGTTGCGGAGTTCTTGTCTTTTTGGGCTGGGGTCTTGTCAGTGGCAGTGCCGGCTTTCTCGAACATAGATGATTCGGGTAACTTTGCATGGCCTGCTAACTTTCCTCCGGTGGGCAAGTTTTTCGTGGCACCTCATGAGAATCTTCCGGTCCCAAAACTATTGGAGAAGTTCACGATCGAAGAAGAGGGAGACATGTTCAAGCGCTTTGTTGCTTCCATCGACTTGGTGCAGCGGCTTCTTCCTCACGTCCCCGAGGAGCTGAGCGACTAGACCCATATAAAGTGGATGCACGCATCTGTGTGTGTGTGTGTCTGTCTGTCTGTCTGTCGCATGCTTGCATATATTTTTCTTCTTCAATCCCAGCAGCTAAACACTGCAGGCTTTCGTGTGGAGAGGCTTGCCGTGCACATGACGGATATTCTTTCTGTGATTCATATGCATATTCAGATGCGGAGCCTGCAACTTCTTTCGTGGCTTGCCGATATTATAGCAATCATGGGCTCACATGTGTTTCAAACATCGACTGAATCCTGCACTCAGGCCGGCGGAGAGAGACAAGCTCACGGATGTGATGGCCAATTTTATGGACGAGCATACGAAACTTGCTTGAAACTGCTTTATTCATGTTGCCGCTTTTTGTGCTATCCATCCACACATCTGTGGGTGTACTGGCTGGCTGCTATGTACTTAGGAAGTGATTGGTTCATGGATGTGTGCTCGGAGCTGCGTGCCGTGCCTTGGCGACTTTGGTTGTCCGGCTGAGTCTTTGCATGTCGTGCATTCACAAGCAGAGCTTTGCTCTAGCGAGGTTGGGTATATCCGTTGGCCATGCTGCTCTTGAAATCCTTTGGCTACGCTGCTACTTGGCAACTCTATTGAACTGGCTGCTTGCATGACATTTATATCCTAGGTTCGCCTCCTGGGCAATTTTGGCTACCGACGATATGGTTTCCTTATTGGGCAATTTTGGCTACCGGCGATATGGATTATATTTGCTTTCGGGCGCAGACCGGCCTCTGTATCTTTGCTGAAAACCGCACTGTATGCGCGAGGCTTCCGAAAGTGCATGTGTGTCGTGCATGGGCAGACAAAATCTAAGGAAGGCAGCAGCATCTACGACAAGAAATTGGGTTTAGACCGGTGCAGCTTTTGATGGCATGTGCAGTGTGTGTGTGTGTGGCATGTGCAGTGCATCCAAACGCTCCTTGGTATACTGCGTCCTAGAGGGGCAGTGAGTTCAAGCTTTGCTGCTACAACCATGTCCATCCAATCACTGCAATTGCCCGTGTACATGCGCGATGAAGCCTCTGCGGGAGCATGTGGTGCTAAGCTTTAAATTACATAACCCGACGTGCGACCTCGACGAGCCATGCCCCCCGTGAAATGCGTCGATGACGATGCTATAAAGCTGATGCTAGATGCCCTCCAGAGCTTCAAGACTAAGAAGGATCGGGAATCAGTCATCAAGTGTTGTGTTTGTGATGTTGTACTGGTGTCATTGCCGATTTGTTTTCCGCTGCAGGACCTGGTGGCCTTCAAGGAGAGTACGGCCGAGGACGAGCTGGAGGACACCGTGCAGGAGGAGGACCTCGAATCGAACAAGGAGCTTCTGCTTAAGTCACTTGGCCGCATCTACACAGAACCTGGCTCAATTCACGGTCCATAATACATGTATGTCTCATGAACCAGGTGCCTCCCCGTCTTCGAGCAGACCGGCCATGTGTGGAATTTGCAGAGCTTGCAGAAGTGCTTCGCAAAGCTGTACGATGAGTCTCGGCTATATCGTTCGCTTGTGCTGATCCCGTACGTCATGCACAACCATTCGATGGGCAAACTCAGGATGAGGATAATGGAACTTCGAAAAAGTATGCCATTGCTGCTTTGGCGGTCCGCGGGATGGCAACTTGGCAAGAACAGATCGACAAGGAGTTGAACATGTGCACGCATGCATGCGTGCATGCATGCATGCAGGGATGTGTTAGTTTGCTCCTCGCTCGGTTAGGCCCAGCACGTGGTCAGACAAGCGAAGCGGACCATGGAGAGCCCGAACAAGACGTTTAAACTGCTGAAGCAATGCTGTGGGCCTCGCTTGGTGGCGAAGAAGCGCAAATCTGCAGGAGACCCGGCTGTATGCAATTGTACATACACACATACATACATACATACATATGTAAATACATGCATACTGCAGACCATACTCTATAATATGTACGTATACATTTCATATATATATATATATATGTATTAAATGTATGTATATATATATGTATATATATATATGTATAATATATATATATATATATATTGGTACATCCGCCAGGAGCTGATGGGCCGGATGCTGCGTCATTGCCGGGCAAAAGCATGGACACGGCGGAGACGCAGCCGCAAGATACGCAAGGACTGCATCGTGGCATGCCCAATCCCCGGGATGTTCCGGATCACGTGCTCGTCTCGGTCTTGGGTGATCTGGAGACTCGAACTACCATCAGTTTCGACCCCACGCTGCAGCACAAACGACGATTTCGAGCACACTGCAGTAGTACAGGCACGCATGATCAAATGTGTCATTGCATGATTCGTGCACATCTCCAATGTGTGTGTGTGTGTGTGTGTGTGATTTGATCGAGTGCGCGATCATATCCTTAGTTAATGCATTCTGCATGGTCCCCATGCAGGAGCCGACCTGCTCGAAGCACGGGATGCAGAGGCTCGTGATCGGTAACGTGTGTGGTGCATGCTTTAGCTTGCTGCCAACTTAAAGTTGTCCCTTTGATTGCAGGTGGCAGCTGCTGCGGCTTCCGAGCCGCCCGATGACCTGGAGTTGCAGCTGGAGCAATTGGTGGAAGAGGCTGGGCCGGGGGCTGGTGCAGAAGCGAATCAGTTTGCAGCCGATCATCGCATTCTTCTGGAAACGGGTTGCATGCATGCTCTCAGCCGCCTGAATTACCTTTGCTGCCGAATCTTGGATCTGTCGGTCAAGACCTGGGTCATTGCGTATTGTGTGGTCCACATAAATTGCAGACTGCTGTTTATACCCCATATGTTCTGGCACCGTTGCTGCAACTCCTCGTCAATAGGAGGCCGACCACAGCTCATATGTGAAGTGAGACCCCAACGAACATGCATATACGCCACAGTCAGCGGATCCTGCATCATGAAGAGAGCACCGGCTGTCACCAGAGTAGGGCAATCTTCACTCACTTCTCCGGTTTGGCTCTCTTCTTCCTTCTTCTCTGCACTCTTCTCGTACATGGCCCGCCACTGCTCCAAACCCACCGTCTCCAAATGCTCGATGATCTTGCGCCTGGACAGCTGGATGTCTTCCTCTTCATCCTCCGTATTCCAGCTGGTTTCCTCCGCGATCTCCGTTTTTCTGCGGCGCTTCGCCAAACGCATCATCAAAGCTTCCAAGCTGCGTTTCTCTGCACCGGTCAAAGACATGACGCCGAAACTGCAATCCTACATGCAATTGACTGTCTGTGTGTGTGTGTGCCGTGCCCAAATTTTGCTGCTATCCAACATATGACGGATCGGTCGTCAGCTGGGGCCGTCCATGCAATCGTGGCAGCGATCGGCAGCTGAGTGTGCTGCACCCGAGGTTAAAAGAATCAAGTGAGGAAGTCGTGCTATGTGAGTCGTATGCATGCAAGCTCACATTATGCATACATGTGTGTCTGGCATGCATACCTTACAGGCCCCGGATTTGCCAGCAAATGGATCTATGGTTGCTTGGATGCACTTACTGGTTGTGGCTTCTGATGTTCCTGGGAACGATAATCCTGGTGGCAGTGCGACGGTGCTTTGGCAATTGATGTTGAAGAGTTCCTATTTATAGTTGGTATGCAAGCATGGCATTGTTTGATGCAGGCCGGATCCTCGCGCGACCCGCCCGGGAACCCGTCCGACCCGGTATCTCGGACAAATATGCTCATGCAACCTAAACTTCCTATATGAACATGCCATGGAGCTCAGGCTGAGGAGCATGAAGATGATGATGACGAAGAGAAGCCGGACAAAGCGGCTCGGTCGGCTGAGCCGTGCATCCTACTTAATGTGTGCATGTTGTGCTGCAATACAGCCACGCCGTGCTGAGGCGGGGCAGGAAGTTAGCCCGGCTTTGACAGCGTACCGGCTTTTTTGCGGGGCCGCGAAGAGGGACGGCTACAGCTTTTCTGCTGCATCGGAGCTTTGGAAATCTTCGAGTATCAAGGCAATGTTCAATGAGACGAAGGCCAAGAAGTAGTGGCCAACTGGACATGCGGCATAATTTTGAGCAGCTCTCGAGTGCACAAAAGTAGTGCTTGCATGATCGACTGCATGTGATGTGCACTGTCGGCTTTGCTTCGCCGCTCATTCGGAGTCATTATTCGTTCTGCTGGATCAGGCACAGGAACCCTTGAACTCTTGGTGCTGTTATTTCTATCTGTATATATATATATATCTATATCTATATATCTATATATCTATATATCTATATATCTATATATCTATATATCTCTATATATCTCTATATATATATATATGTATATGCCATGGGCAAAACATGAGTGGGGCTTCACTGTGCATGCACGCACATCTCTCGACATGTGCGTGCATTCCTGGATGCAGTGCCGACCTTTGTTGCATTGAGTCTAGTGTTGGCACAAAGCTCAGAGCATGCAGAGCGGACCACGTGAACTGCATGCTTCTTCGATCAGCTGCACACAAATGTACTTGGGAGCCGTGGGGAACGTGAAGTCATGCTGCATCGGTTGTTCAACTGCTCCATGTATGTCGGCACATTAAAGGTTTGCAAGGCGATTTCTACCATGGCGGTGCCAATTTTCTTGGCACGTCCGAATGTAAAGATGCTCCTGGCTTGTCATGTGCCCCGCCTGTTCATCGTGGCCTTGTACCTGGTGAGTTGCCTGGAGAGTGTGGCTCCTCATCTACAAATAATTAAGAGCTGTTTCAGTGCATGATGCATTCTCCTTGTGTGTATGTCGTGGTTCTTGCAATTAATGTGGATGAGGATGTGTGCAATTCGCACTTCGACGTCTGTGAATGCTTCGCTGGAGTGGGTGTCACTTACCTACATGCAGATCAGACCACTCATGCAGGTATCCACCGATAGCTAAGGCTGTGTACGACCAAGCACGACAAAGAGGTCTCATGTGTGGCAAGCTCGACATCAGCATGGACAAAGACTGCATGGACCTGGCCACCTCAACCGGATGGCTGCTGATTGTCCGAATTAAACTCATTAAGCAGGTGGCACAACCAATCGTGTGTGTGTGTGTGTGTGTGTGTGGGTGGGTGGGTGGGTGTTTCCATTGCATGTGTGCATGCGCAATGGAGCTCAGGACGCATGTTTTGCTGGTCCTGATGATGAAGCCCAAAGGGCTGTTGATGTTGGCTCCGCCGTGTGGGTCTTATTCCTGGATGTGCCGATATTCCACAGGACGACGGGCTATTCTTCCGGATGGATTACCGTCGGAGAAGGTCATTGCGGCGGCGAAAATCGCAGCCCGGACGCTCGCTTGCAATGCTTTTCTCTCTCCCTCTCTCTCTCTCTCTCTCTCTCTCTCTCTCTCTCTCTGTCTCTCTCTCTCTCTCTCTCTCTCTCTCTCTCTCTCTCTCTCTCTCTCTCTCTCTCTCTCTCTCTCTCTCTCTCTCTCTCTCTCTCTCTCTCTCTCTCTCTCTCTCTCTCTCTCTCTCTCTCTCTCTCTCTCTCTCTCTCTCTCTCGCTCTCTCTCTCTCTCTCTCTCTCTCTGTCTCTTCATGATCCTGTACGTACTATGTGCCTCACACGATGTGTCGATGATCAGTAACCCATTAAACGAGGACTGCTATCCTCTGGTGTTTGGCGAGTGCTATGTCGATCTATGTCATGCTGGAACAACCGGATCATGGAGATACAGGCCTCTGGAAATCGCCACGCTTCCAACGATTGGCTGAAACTTTCAAAGCTGCTCGGCGACATCTCGGATTTCCATGGTGTGTGCGATGTGTTCTTTGGCTGTTTGTGCTGAGTGCTACAAGATTGGGTTTGACATGGCAGCCTTCGGAGCCAACTCACTGAAGCCGACTATGTTATGGTCCAATCATGCAGCGTGGCTGCAGAGATTTATGGTGGGCCTCAACGACGAGGATCGTCGCCGTGTGGCAGAGCATCGGGGGGAAGTTGCGAAACGCAAGCGAGTCGTGGTTCCTTGAATGCAACAAGTCAAAGGCAAAATGATTTTACAGGCTCGTGTGCTAAGCTTCTGTGCCAAGGACGAAAACGGACGCAAGCGAGTACGATCCACCGGTAATACCATGGCGTTGAAGCTCACCCAGCTACTCGGCGTGCATGTTTAGCCGTTTGCAAGCATGTCTTCATGTGTGCCCAAACGCGTACCCACCCACCCACACCCACCCACCCACACCCACCCACACCCACCCACACCCACACCCACACACACCCACACCCACACACCCCCACACACCCACACATCCACACACCCACACACCCGCACACCCGCACACCCACACACCCACACACCCACACACCCACACACCCACACACCCACACACCCACACACCCACACACCCACACACCCACACACCCACACACCCACACACCCACACACCCACACACCCACACACCCACACACACCACACCACACACCCACACACCACACACCCACACACCCACACACCCACACACCCACACACCCACACACCCACACACCCACACACCCACACACCCGCACCACACACCCACACACCCACCCACACACACACACACACACATGCCCACACATGCCCACACACACACACCCACACGTGTACACCCGCACACACACACACACACACACGCACACACAACACACACAACACACACATGCCCACACACACACACACATGCCCACACACACACACAGACACACGCACACACACACACATATGCCCACACACACACACACATGCTTACACATGCCCCCGCACACACACACACACACACCCACACACACAGAGAGAGAGAGAGAGAGGCACTACACAACTTCCTTCGCCACGAACGTTGTCGATGCTTGGATGGCAGGATGCAGGTCGTGGCTTGTCTGCATCGACTTCTCTAAAGGTAACCATTGCATATACTATACTTTTAAATATATATAATTGAACATTCAGGACCCCGGAACTTCGGTGCGAATGCTGTGAGACTGGTATCACGAAAGATCTTTTCCGACGGATTTCTATCGATGAAGAGGCTCGTGACTGCACTGCATGGATGACCTTTGTGTATGCTCAGTTCGAACTCATACACATGTTGCTTCTGTTCTTTTCAGGCGGAGGAGCTCCGTCTGCTTTTCGCTGAGCCCATTGATGATTTCTGGGAGGAGGCAGGTGTGTATTATCATGCCATACTTAGTATTTCGTTCGCTTAACCCGACAGGCTGGCTTACCAGAATTCGTCAATTGGCTGAAGGGCTCCAGCAGCCTGCGATTGCCAGCCAGTTGGCCGACAGATTGCTGCTGACCACTGGATCATATATATGGTGCCTGCTCTACGTGCAGCAGTGCTGCGCCATGCACTTTCGGATACTGGAACGGCTGCTATTCAAAGCCATTCTCTCGAGTTGCTATTCCTTACTTTGGCAACAAAGGCCCACGTATGATGGCACACATTCGATCATGGGGCTCTCTTCGATGACATCGTGTCGATCGATATTATATCTGGTGTCCTGGCCTATCAAATTCATAGTCTTGTCCTTATGCGCATGTGCCATGTATGGCTGCCTCCTGCCTGTGCCGAGGCTTATCAACGGTTCATCATGTTCGCTGCATGCTCGCACTTAAAGGGATCCCGGGATCACTGCATGGCGAATTTAAACCATGAGGTGTGCATGTTGCTGACCTCAGGAATCATGCTATGGGTGGATTAAATGCACACATATTCGTGTATGTTCCTTGGCTTACTTAAGTCTGGGATTCAAGGTTCTCGACCATGTCCGTGAATTCAACATGTTATAATGAGCCTGCTGTCGAAACGCAGGCCTCTGCGACATCATGGGCTGTGGGCTGCGCAGCACGTCTTCTGCTTGTGCTGCACCACAGGGCAAAAGTAGATCCGGCGGTTGTCCCGTAGCTTTACGCTTCTGTGCTGCATGCTTTCATTTCGCACGCATGCATGTTCTTGCATCACACATACATGTTCGTGCTGATACACATGCTGTCTCAGATTGCATGATGCCACGTGAAAGTATCCCGTGCCAGAAATCCAGGCGACAGAATGCTATGTGTGCTGCTCGGAAGCAACGGTACCTGTTCATTGAACACAAACAAGTGCAAACAGGCAGCAACAAAACAACAACATAACAAAAACATGCAAACACACAACAACAAAACAACGACAAACCATCACTGAGCAAAAAAAATGTTTATAGAATCACTTGTTGATGACGGGCAAAACCACCTGTCAACAGGCGTCAAAAAGCGTCAAAACGCGTCAAAAAGCGTCAATTTGCGTCAACTCGACTCAACTCACAACTTGCAACAATACAACAACAACACACCATCAACACACCATCACTGAGCAAAAAAAATTATAGAATCACTTGTTGATGCCCGGCAACAGCACCTGTCAACAGGCGGGAAAAAGCGTCAATACGCGTCAATTTGCGTCAACTCGAGTCAACTCACAACATGTGATATCCAACGCACCAAGAACAAAACATGTACATTGACAACGCACCAAGAACAACACATGTACATTGACACATGTTAACATTGACAAATGCTACTTCGTTTTTTTTTTCGGGTAGCTGTTTCTGTGTGTTTCTGTGTACAAAACAACAAGCGAAACCACTGCGACTTAGTTATACTGGGTGATCTGAAACTAGAAAAGTGTCTGATGTCGATGCACAATGTGTTCCGATTCATCCTGTTCGTGATGAATCATACCATAAAACACCAGGTTTCTGCTATGTTTCTGAACAATTGCAACCGACGACTCGGGCTAGTGTGAGCTGTGGGAATACACTCCCATGGGTACGCCATGTCTCGTGTACGTGTTGAACGATTAAGACCAGTGATTCTGGTATGAAAACAAGCACCAACGACTGGTGTGAAACTTGTTTTGTATGTGGGTCGGAATCCGTGACGCTTCTAGCATGGTAGGTGCCTCCCATGCATCCCATGCATCTGGACGTGCAAACCCAGTGACTGTGGTACGAGTTCATGGCACATGCTACTTTTGTGTATATATATATATATAGGTACATGGATATGTTCCATGTTGCACGCACACCACACGAGAGACTGTCACGTACGTGGGCTGGTGCATGCACAACACGGGGAGAGTGAGGTATGGGTTAATTGGGTGGGCGGGGTTGGCTGGGGGGTCGGGGTGGGCGCGGGGCGGGGGGGGGGGGGGGGGGGGGGGAAGCGCCCTTAACTAGCATCCTCTTTCGGCCGGGGGGGGGGCGGGGCGTGGCGTGGAGGGCGCTTGTGGGTGGTGGGGGGGAATGTGTGTGGGTGGGGGGCTCAGGCTCAGGGGAGAGGGTCGGGTGCATGGGGGGTGCATGCATTCATGGTCTGCATGTCTGCAAGGTCGTGTCTGCAAGGTTGCGGTTGTGCATGCCATGAAATGAAGTGCTGGTGCGCAGGGAACCTGGCCCGAGCTGCATTCCGTGACTCGTAGTGTCTCCTGCATGGGGAAGAAGGGCGGAACGAAAAAGCCGGAGCCGTCCGTGGAAGAAGGCAAAAAACTGGTGGCGTCGTGGGATCAGAGCATCATGCAGAGCCTTAAGCTTACCCCGGAGCAGCGAGCAAATGTTGATGCCAAGTTGTATCTCCGATCAAATGTATGGGCGTTCTTTGTGTTTGCCGTGTTTTCTCTTAATTGGGAGATGACTGATCATCCGAGGCAAGCGCTGAGACCACCGCCTGTGCAGCCACGTTCTGTGGCTGGACAAGGCATAGGGCCGAAATGGGGATTGGTGACCAGTGAGGGGTTACACGCTCTTTTTGGGAACGGTGGTTTGAGCTCAGGCAGCGAGGCTTCGGCACCAGCTGTGCCTGCACCCCCGACAAAAGCACCTGAGCTGCCGACGCCGCCGGCAGAGCCTGCGTCGCCGGTGCCGCTGGTGCCGCCCGTGCCACCTCCGGCAGTGCCATCTCCGACCGCACCTCTGGCAGTGCCATCTCCAGCCGGACATCCTGTGCCGCCTGTGTCAATGCCATCTCCAGCCGGAGATCCTGTGCCGCCTGCAGTACCACAGCCATCTCCAACCGGATATCTTGTGCCGCCTGTACCAGTGCCATCTCCAGCCGGAGATCCTGTGCCGCCTGCGTCAGTGCCATCTCCAGCCGGAGATCTCATGCCAGCTGCTGGGCCGCCCGTGGTAGCTGCAGACCCGCAAGCCCTGGATCAATCTAGTATGGCACTCCTCGCCCAGCTTATGACGGCTTTGAGGACACGTGGTGGGCTTCCGCCTTCTCTGGATGCGGCCGTGAACCCGGCACCTCCGCCGGTGCCATCTGTGCCAGCTTTGCCCCCGTGTTCCACAACTTTGACTGTGCCTGTGGCCCCGCCACCGCCGTCTGCAAATGGGCCCGGTACGCTCGCTTCGCAACCGATGGCCGTGCCGTCTCTTCCTACAGGGACACCTGTCCCACCGCCTGTGCCACCAAGTCCTGCTGCTCTACAGCAGCCCCGCTCGGATGATGATCATGATGGGCTTCTGCCTTCTCCGGATGCAGTGCCAACTGTGCCGGCCTTGCCCCCGTGTTCCACAAACCTGACTGTGCCAAGTGGGGCACCCCCACCGCCGCTAGCTGCAAATGGGCCCGGTACGCTCGCTTCGCAACCGATGGCCATGCCAGCACAGCCGTCTCTTCATGCAGGGGCACCTGCCCCATCGCTTGTGCCGCCTAGCCCTGCTGCTCTAGAGGTGCAGGATACTCAGATAGATGGAGCTACTTCGCCTCCTCGCAAGAAGGCCCGCTCGGACGATGCTCGTGTGCCTGACCGGCAATTGACATCCCTCTCTATCTCTGGGGCCTCCGGCTCGCTGGAGGATGTTTCAAAGCTGCACGAGGACTGACAGCTGAGTGAGTGAGTGAGTTGATTGGGTGGTTGGTAGGTTTGGTTGCTTGGTTGCTTGGTTGGTTGGTCGTATATAAGGTAGACGTGAAGATAACCACAACCCTGCATCAGGACCTGAGTCCGGCGGGCTGCAGCGCTGCTTCTCTGAATCGACTGGATAGCTCTGCATCGATCCAGTCGGCACAGTCAATATCCACGGGGGCTCCATCGAGACAGGGTTCGGTGACCTGGGCTTCGGCAACCGTGCTGCAGCAAGCGACACGTGCCGCCGAAGACATGAACCCACGGCCTGGAATACTTCGCAAAACACAGCTGGGTTCTGGCAGCATGGAGAGCCTCAGCAGTCAGGAGAACCTGGGATCGCCTGACCATGCGAGTGGCAGCAAACGATCAGTGGTGCCTTGTTTGATATATTTCCTTTGAACATACTGCATGATTCCGAAGGGTCGATTTATAATGGAGCTGGGTGCATGTGATATTTGTGTGCTGAGCTTACCCAGGAACTCGATGATGCACAGCTTCCTGTGGAGAAGCATGCCAAGACCAATGGCCCCGCTGGAGCCGACGTCGTGCGGCTCTTGGGTGAGTTGCCGGATAGTCCAACCAAGACGGCGCTGCTGGCAATTCTCGCAACGCCCCCGACTGCAGTGCCGGCCATTGTGCCCCCTGCAGCAATGCCATCTCCAGCCGGAGATCCTGCTGCCGTGCCGCCTCAGGGTGTGATCCCAACAGTGCCATCTCCAGCCGGAGATCCTGCTCGTGCTGTGCCGCCTCAGGGTGTGATCCCAGCAATGCCATCTCCACCCGGAGATCCTGCTGCCGTGCCGCCTCAGGGTGTGATCCCAGCCGAAGATTGTGTTGGTGCTGTGCCGCCTCAGGGTGTGATCCCAGCAATGCCATCTCCACCCGGAGATCCCGCTGCTGTGCCGCCTGAGGGTGTGATCCCCTCATTGCCATCTCCAGCCAGAGATCCCGTGCCATCGAATGCTGCACCTCCTCCGGCCGGTAGCATTGCTGCCGTACTGACGAGTTTGTCAGCTGTGCCTTCCCAAGCGACAGCTCCTGTGCTTCCAGCTCCGCCGACGCTTCCGCAAGCACCCTCTGCAGTGCAGGATCAGGCACTGGTGCCAAGCCGCGGTGGCGGCGGATGGCTTTGCAACTCAAAGACGCACGCGGCGGAATGGAAGTCGTATGGCAGATGGGTCGCGCGGAACCCGGATGCCACGCAGCTCAGTGCTGCCTACAACAAGGGTGCCGATGCTCGTCTTGCAGCATTTCAAAAATGGGTGCACTCGGGGGGGAACGGAAAGGCTGTGGAAGCTTGTATGCGTATGGTGCGGTCTTCTGAAGAGCTGCACAGGGACAGTGGACGATATGTCCCCTGGACGGCGGTCTTGCAGCACTTCCGCAATGATGCCACACAGGCAATGGACTTCGCTGCGAGGCGCAGGGGTGAGGAGAAGGGTGTTTCCAAGTGCCGGAACACGGGGCAAGAAACCTTTTTGCTCTTCAATGATGAGACCAGAGAGTGGACGGATCGCAAGCTCGAAGCTTGATCTGATCAGATTGGGAAGGAAGTCTTGAGTGTTTATGTTTATATAATCAGCCGTTCTGATCCTCGGCCCTTGATCCTGCCCAGGACGAGGTCGCGATTGAAGTCGGTGCCGATCTAGAAGCCGCGACTCAGCTTGCTCACCTTATCAGCTCGTCGCCGCAGCTCTTCCGAAGGGGTCATGATGACATGCCACGCGACAACGAGCCCGTGGATGATGGGGAGGCGCCCGCAACGGGCAAGGCTGAAGGCGACAAGGGCAACACTAAGAACCCCAAGCCCAAAGGCAAGGCCAAGCCGAAGGCGAAAGCGAAGGCTGGGTCATCATGTTTTGCGTGGGCATTATCCTAGGCCTGTGCTTAATACACTTGCGTGCAGGCCGACAAGCAGATCCATGTGGAGCTCCCGGCATTGGGGTCGGATATTGCCGGGATTGCGCAATTCAAGGAGTCGTGGACACGTTCTATTTCGGACGCCCAGGGACATGCGACGACCATGGTGTGCGAGTTCCTTGGTATCAGGTGATTCAATATTAACAACCACATGCATTGGGTTGAAGGGTTTGAACAAGTGACCATGCATGTGATTTGCTGTGAATTAACTGAGGCTGGAGAATTTCGAATCCCAAGAGCGGTTGTGCGAGCTGATCAACCAGTCGAAGGAAGGAATGTCCACTGCGAGAAAGGACCATCCCGGGCTAGCCAGGTTCACCGAAACATGGGCCGGCTAAGTATGCATTAAGTTAACAAAGACTCAGCTGAACCAGGACATGATGGCCGTGGACATTGGCGACCCGATGTGCCGCGACAAAATGGGTCAAATTTTGGAGGCGGCCAAGCCCTTCATACAGGCTTACATGAAGCACACCCGCACTGGCAACAATCTGAGTCTTGGCTGCAACTTTCCTGGTGCTGTGTACGCAGTTTCATGCCATGCATTTCGTTGTTGATTTTTTTGTGTGCCTCACGTGCGACAGATGCCAGGATTGCTGCTCAGAAGCGCGACGAGAACAAGAAAAAGGGGGGCAATAAGAACACCACAGAAGCTCCAAAGGAGCTTGAGATCGCGAACGGAGGTGCGGCTGTGTAAGCACACAGCTTTTGTGTGCCGGGTTCGGCCTTGGTATATGTGGGTGCGATGCATATGAGCACATGCAGGAACTTAAATAAGATCGAGTACTTTCAAAACATAGAAGATGTGCTTGATTTCAATCTGAATGTGTGCTCATTGCATCGGATGTGCCGAACACTGTGGCTGTCCGATGAGATATGGCCATGAGTGTTTTCTCCTTTCTATCGGCTCTGGGTCGAGTGTGCGGCCCCGGCATGCATGCCCCGTACGTGGGCCATGCCATGATTTCGAGAATCTCGTGAGGAGAGGAAACAAACAGCATGTGTCCGTGTGCATGTGACGCAGGTGCTTCGCATGATTGCGTTACGTATGAGCAGCTTGAGTATTCATGTGTCTATATCGATGTCGAGGCCCCAGCTGGAGGTGTTAACCTTTAGGCAATGACGCACCTCGCACATGTTCATCTTACTTAAAGCAACGTGATGCAACCGTCTGCATGCAGTGGGCTGTCTGAGAGAGTTTGAATTAAACAAGTTCGAATTAAGTCCAGATCTATAAATCTAATGATTGAAGGCTTAACTTGTTTGATGCTCGGCAACATGTGAACACACCTAGGTATAATATGTTGTGAACGAAGCAAAACTTTTCTGGGCTTGCCATGGCTTGCCTGTGTGGATTTGCATGATGTGACATATTCCAATGGCTGTGCTGGGCAGATGCAGTCCGGGCCGCGCTTGTTCGCAACATGCTCCGTCGGGCAAAGCTGCTTTTTGAAGCATCGCGGCGAACGTTGCCGGATGACCGTGATGCTGGGATCCCGCAACAACCTGCGGCACCTGCGGATGTGCAGGGAACTGGGAGAGGCTTCAAGCGAAGCCTGAGCCTCAAAGGCTCGCCGCTCATGAGACTCGCGGCAAAACAGGTTGGCCGGGGGGCTTCAGCCTCCACCTTTGGTGACTTGGCCCGAGCGGCCTGCTCAGAAGCCGGGGCCACGAATGTTTCTCGCGGTGGCTGGGCTATGCATGTTGTTTGCGACACAGATGTGACATTTCATGATGCATACATTCCATTTAATTGAAAACATAAGCCCTTATCCAAGGCACACGCTTTGCTGCACAACTGGCGGCGGGCACGAACAAACGTAATGCCGAGCGAGATATCATGGCTGCTCTGAGCCGCAGCCATGGTGTGCCTCGTCAGTGCAACTGTGATGCATGTATGTTGATCATGCCGGTCATTTTTGCTCATTTGCAAGGTTCCGCTGCACTGCAAACTATCTTATGTGGTGATTCCTATTGTGGAGATCCGACAAGTCAAGCGCTTGGCTGCAACTGCCAGAGGTGTCGCGCCCAAGGGCCGCGGCAGGGGACGTGGACGTGTACGTGTGCGAGGTGGAAACATGAATTTCTTGAAAAAGAAAGGACTGGCCGAGAAGGCGATCGTGTACAAGAAGTGGCCAGTCTTCTTGCCGTCCAACTTTGCACGTGGTTTGGCAGCGGCGGGTGCTGATCAATGGATGATGCTTGTTTGCGATATCGTGTACTCGTGATATTTGTTGCGATCTAGATGCTGAGCTTTTCACATGCTATATTCGAGCTGAGGGGCCTGGACTGTGACTGGTCCTCGTTCTGGGATTCCGTGGCCCAGTCTGAGACGTGGGGTGCGACGCTTGGCATGCATAGTTTGTGTATGTAGTCTGTCCTGCAGAACTGCCTCGTGCAATTGCTGGATCCGCGAGGACACACCCCGTGAACACCGGTTTCGATGCAGCTGCCAGAAAATCTGCGATCCCCATCCTGCTGCATGGGGATGAAGGCCAAACAAAGAAGGACAGAAGCCTGCTCATTCTCAACTGGCATGTCCTGGGAGTGCAGTCGAAATCAGTCCTATTCCGGAAGTTCCCGATAGCAGCGCCTTTGCTGCAAGTTGTGCATGCAAGGTTTGTGTGGAAAGACATGAACATGACACGCTGTAACTTCCCATATATCTGAGATCATCCGGTCGGCCAACCTGGCTTATTCGTCTTCTGGGAAATGCTTAACTATGGAGGCCCTCCAGAAGGCGGTCGTGCAATCTTTATCCGTTGCTGCAGACCCGGCTACTGCTGCAATTCGCGGCGCTGCCACTCTACAATACTGTTGTGGAAAGGGTGACTGGAAGTTCAAAAAGGAATGGTTATGTGAGAAGAAAGACTACTCGCATACGAACTTCTGCAGAAGATGCGATTGCGGGTCGGGCCCAGCTGAGCACTGGTTGGACTTCTTGCATCTCAGCTTTAGCAAGCCGGATTCGGTTTCTCAGCACCTTCACGCGAATGTGCCTGATCACCTTCCGTTTCCTGGCAAGAAGTTTAGTACAGTTTTTTGGACCAATGGGATAGTGTTTAAACATAAACAGGCATATGCACTGTGTTCTGATTGCACACTTTAACAAAACTTTCACATCGATTGTGGACTAATTGTCGCGATCCCATGAGTATCACAGAAATCGCGAGCCAGTGTCAAAACCTGTGAGGTTCCGAAGCTTGGCTGGCTGGGATATGGACATGGAGGCTGCGGACCTGCTGCATGTATTGTGGCTTGGAGCCGCGCGAGATTCCATCGGCAGTGTCCTTATGGAAATTGTTGATTGGGACCCTCGCTTTCAGCAGTCTGGCTCATACGATGTGGCACTGGCACAGGTTTTGACACTGGTGCACGATTTCTGTGATACTCATGGGATCGACAAGTCCACAATCGATGAGCTCAGCTTCTCGATGCAATTTGGAAATGGTTCCGTTTAAACATGTAAGTCGAGTTGTTCTCAACAGCTGCAGAACACAAAACAAATCGTGTTTGGGCCATACTAATCCAGAACTTCGCCGACAATTTGAACCCGGCGGCCGTGCTCTTTACCCATAGGCCCCATCTAGGATTACCTTAAGTTAAATAGTAAGTCATTGTTGCTTTCAGTGTTGCTCGTGGCTTCAAACCAAGGCTTGACCAAGTTGCATGTCGACTCTGTGCAGTATGACTTCCCGCTTGGTCTGTCCAAAGCCTTTGCCAATAAAGTCTTGTGCTCTTGGGCCGCCGACTTTTTGGCAGATTCCTGGCTTTTGTCGTAAGCAACTATGATAACGGCTTTTCTATATTTTGAGTTTTAATTAAGATTCGGTCGTATATTAAAGCAGTGGCCCCAGGACACCATGGTGCCTCAGCTGCAGCGACCGGCCGTGATGATGTGGTCGCTGATGAAGTTCAACAGCCTTTTGGAGCAAAGCGGCCTTTTCTTCGATGATGCTACTGCAATGCGTGTCTACAATCATGGGCTGCTCTACTGCCAGCTTCATGTGCTCGCTGGCTACGATGCATTGCTGGAGCGACGACCGAGATGGAAGGTAAGGCCTCGTCTGCACAGTCTGGTGTGCGAAATTTTATTGAAGGTATCAAATGGCTCGCGGCTGAACCCCAAGTTCCTGGCTTGCTGGTCGGATGAGGACTATATTGGCCAGAGCTGTGCCATTGGAAAGTCTCGATCTGTGCATCCGAGCACTCTGGGCTTAAGAATGCTGCAAAGGCTGGTGTTGACTTTGAACGCAGAGCTGGCAAGTTAGGCGAGACACTGGCAGAGGAAAGCTTCTTCAACGGCAGAAGCAGGAGTTGAAGGCTCTTGGAGCAGAACTGCCAGCTGGAAGCCGGCAAGCTTGCACGTACGTGAGTGTGTGAGCAAAAGGATGCGAGCGCCAAACCCTGAAACCCCGCCCTAAACCCTCGAAGCCCCTGAACAACCACAACCCTAAACCACCAATCCCAATGGACGTGGAAACCGTGCCTGCGTGAGCGAGTGTGCGAGTGTCAACCACCAATCCCAAAACTGAACGACGAGACCCCAGAGGCGCCCGAGCCGGAACCCTAATATAAGGACGTTCCGGGATTTCGGCAGGGCGCGGAAGGGATTTCTCTTTCAATCATTCGATCAATCACTCCTCAAGTTTTCCTTCTTCTTATCTTCTTCGAATCTTCAAATAGTCTTGTCGCATCTTTCTTTCCTTTTCACATACATACATATCTCAATTTTTCCTTCTTCTTATCTTCTTCGAATCTTCAAATAGTCTTGTCGCTTAATTTCCTATCCACATATAATCATTTATATATATATATATATACATATACATAGTTGTATGTATATGTACTTATGTATGTATGTATGTATGTATGTCCATGCAGACGTATAACCCTAAAGACCCTAAACCTCCATAATTCGGCTCAAAGCTTAAGCTTCAGCTCAAGGCACATGCCTTTTTTTGGGCACAGTTTGGCTCAAGGGTTTCACCCGCAAAGGCGTTTCACCCAACCGGGACAATACCTTGACCCCGTGCTGCTAGATTGCGATCATGTACATCTGTTGGGACATGCAAGGCAGTATTATTGGATTTTTGCCTGGGATTCGGCTCAAATAAGCTTCGGCTCAAGGCACATGCCTTTTTTTTGCAGAGTTTGGCTCAAGGGTTTCACCCGCAAGTGCGTTTCACCCATGGGGGACAATACCTTGACCCCATCTCGTGCTGCTAGATTGCGATCATGTACATCTGTTGGGACATGCAAGGCAGTATTATTGGACTTTTGCCTGGGTTTGGGTTACATCATGTGGATGAGAACGAATGTTTATGCTGTCATGTTG